TGCTGCTGCTGCTGCTGCTGCACCACGCACCGCCTTCTGTCGCCCTTCGTGGCCTCTTCAGTACACCGACAGCAGCAGCAGCAGCAGCAGCAGCAGCAGCAGCAGCAGCAGCAGGCCCACGCTGCTGCAGTCTCTGTCTGAGCTGCGTGAGGATTTTGGTGGGGACTTTAGGGGCCCCCAAGGAGACAGCAGGTGGGGCCCCCCTGTTAAGCGGGAAACAGCAGCAGCAGCAGCAGCAGCAGCAGCAACAGCAGCAGCAGCACCAGCAAATACTGCTGCTGCTGCTGGTGGTGGTGGTCGTGTTGCTGCTGCTGCATCGAGAGACAGGCGCATGCTGATGTTAGAGGATGTGGGGGGTGAGGAGACAGCAAGTGCTGCAGCAGCAGCAGCAGCAGCAGGAGCAGCAGCAGCAACTCCTGCTGCTGCTGCTGCTGCTGCTGCTGCTGCACCAGGAGAAGGTCTTGCTGCTGATGCTGCAACAAGAAGGGCTACGCTTGTCTCCTTTTTGCTGTCTCTGCTGCCGGAGAGCAGCAGCTACGGTGCTCTGGCTGGGGGCGTTGATATGTCTCCTGCTGCTGCTGCTGCTGCTGCTGCTGCTGCTGCGGGACCACCGCTGCAGGATACAACAACAACAGCAGCAGCAGCAGCAGCAGCAGATGATAGCTGCCTAGACACCACAAAAGCACTGCTCAGCAGCCTTCAGGGTCACCTCCTTCGTTATGAGTCTGAGGAGGTGCATCAGCTGCAGCAGCAGCAGCAGCAGCAGCAACAGCAACAGCAGCAGCAGCAGCTGCTGCTGCTGCAGCAGGTGAAGCAGCAGCATGAAGGAGGGAAACGCAGCAGAGGCGGGGGAGCGGCTGCTGCCAGCCGCATAGGGACAGGTATCCGAGGAGGTGCTGCTGCTGCTGCTGCTGCTGCTGCTGCTGCTGCTACGAAGCAGGAGCTGCTGCAGCACAGCGATATAGCAGCAGCAGCAGCAGCAGCAGCAGCAGCTGTGCGGCCTCCTGATTCAGAACCACTACCCCGAGGGAGGGGTCGGCAGCAGCAGCATCGTCAGCAGCCTTCAACAGCAGCAGCAGCAGCAGCAGCAGCAGCAGCAGCAGTAGCAGGTTTGGGGGATACAGTTGATGCAACAGCAGCAGCAGCAGCAGCAGCAGCAGCAGCAGGCATTGACAGTGGTAATCTGTGTTGTGATTCTTTGCTGCTTTCTCCATCATCTTCTATCTCTACTTCTTCTTCTTCGTCCTCATCATCATCATCAGCAGCAGCAGCAG